AGCATGCTAGGATGGGTCCCTTGGAGGGTGTCCGGAGCGGGAATCGCCGGCCCCGGAGTCCAGGAGGACCACAGTCCTAGACCATCGGGGCTGCAGTAACAGCTTCCTGGTGAACCTGCCAGCTCAAACTGCCTGGGAAATGTGCCCCCAGATAATGAACATGTCCCCTTTGTTCTATCTCAGAGATCGTCTGCCAGATGTAATATTTTAGTTTCAGATGAGATCAAATTAATCTGTTCTTAGTGACACAATTGGACAGACACAGGTGCCATTGTCCTCTGAGAAGGCTGCACAGTGGCGGGGCCCCAGAGGTTGGTGAGGCTGCGGGCAATGGAGGGATTCCGAGGAGCTCCGGAGACCAGCGCTGGATCAGGCAGGGTTGACCGCACCTCACCTATTTCTCTCTCCCAACGTTTATGAAAATACTCACCAAGTTAGACACAAAAATAAGACTCCTGTCTCGGCTTTGAAACCATATGCAAAACACACACACACACACACACACACACACACACACACACCACTCACACAAAGGCCAAGTGGTTGTAAAATCTAGGGGGATACAGTCTTGATAAAGCCACATGGACAAGGCCAAGTCTTGGCCTCAAACAGAAGACCACAAGGCCCCTGGAGCCAGGGGGAAGGATCCGGTGGCCTCTGTTTCCACTCTTGCTGTATCTGCATCAGCCAGAAAACCTAGAGGCCACCCTCTGCTGATGGGGCCTTACCCGGCCTGGCTTACCCCCTTCTCCATCAAGGCAGAGCTGTACCTCGGGCCCCTCCCAGCAGGAAGAAAGATGAGGGCATGTGGAGGCACCCTGCATCACAGAATGTGAAGTCCTCTTAAATAAGAGCCCAGAAGAGGCCCGGGGGTGGCTGGAGACTGATACGTTTCGGGTGCAGAACTGGGGGAAAGGGTAATTCTATTCCACTCAGACTCTTTCAAGCATAACACCCCTTCTTCAGAGCTGAAGAACAGGAGGGGATGGAAGAGGAGGCCCAGTGGGGGTGCAGCAGAGGAACCCCAGGTGATGCCTGCAGCACAGGGCACACCAACCCCACCTGGAGCTTCAGATTGGGAGGAGGTGAGTGGGGCCAGAGCCACCACACGCCGACACCGGTTGACCAGATGTCACTGCACTACAGCAGGCAAAAGCCCAACATGCAGCTACAAGTGAGAGCCACCTTCTGGAATAGAAGATACCTCGAATGGGATTCACTGTCAGAAACCGAGGAAGACTTGAAAGGAGTCTGCCTGGTGTGCTAATTGGGGCGAGAGATGAAGGAGCAGGAGATAAAGAGCCAGGCTGAGATGGAAGGAGGTAGTGTCAAGGGGCAGCAGTCCTGTGAGGGCAGGTGGATTTGATGCAAGGATTCCTCTTTCAAGACAGGAGGAGGAAGTGATGGGATGTGGAGGGAGAAGGCTAGAGGGACATGGAGATGTCACACCCCCATGTCCTCACTCTCCCCCTCTTGGGGTTGAATCTAGTGGGGAGTGCGGTGAAAACATGCAAGAGTACTGGGGACAGCCCAGGACACCAGGGGTTGGTGGCACACCCCTGCGGACGGAGCTGGGGAGGACCGCATGGTGGCTGTAGCTCCTAGGCCAGCCCGACCAGCCCGGCCAGGACTTCTGCTCTCCAGCACTTGTGCTGGCTATTGGGGCTATTGGGGTGAATCCCTACCCTGAGACCGTGCCCCAGCAGGACAGCATGAGGTGCTGAGAGGATCAGGGAGCGGGCAGGGTCTGGGGGTTGGTACGAAGAGGCCATAGCATGCAGGGTAGATGGTGGGGGTCAGGATCTCAGTGTGGGTGCTGGCCACGACCATTCACTCACGAGCGATGGTCCCCACCCTGGAAGCAGACTTGACCCTCCACTCTGCATCAGGGACCAGCCAGGAGCCAATGGACAGTGTGTGGAGCCAAGACCCCATCAACTCTGTCACCTTGAGGGCCACGGGCTCCTGCCGGTCACCCACGCAGACTTAGCCAAAAGCAGGGGTGGGTAGAGGTGCTCTAAAGAGAAGACTGTACCCAGAGAAGAGGTCAGAGCAGCGCCTGGGATACGGAACCCACAAGCTTACAAGTCCTTGCTGACTGAGGGCAGGGACCCACGGGTGAGGTGAGGTAGGTAACAAATGAGCTGGCTGTTCTCTGTACAGCTTGGCTGGGTGGGAGTGAGTCTCGGCCCTGCCACAGTACAGCGATCACCTGAGAACACACGAACGCTCACCGACCAGGACACAAGAGGAGCTGGACCTTCTGATTTTTGTTGGCCACACACACCTGGACAAGGCCACCCATTCAGTTACAGGAAACAGTGAGTTCTGAGCAGGCTACGTCTAATGGAACCAAGTCAGGCTGGCTCATGGCTTTGCTGCCAGGCTGGGCAGCAGGTTCCTGTGGCTGCTCTAACACATTTCCACAAAGGTAGTGGCTTAAAGCAACCAGTTTATTACCGTACAGTTCTGAGATCAGAGGTCTGACCTGGGTGTTCCTGGGCTGAGATGGAGTTGTGGGCAGGACTGTGATCCTTCTTGGAGGCTCCGGGACCTGCCCCCTTTCTTCCCAGCTGCCAGGGCGCCTGTATCCTCTGTCCGGCCCTTCCTTGGTCTACAGAGCTGGCCGTGGTGGCGGAGTTCTTCTCACAGGGTCTCTCTATGGCTCTCCTGTGCTCCGGCCTCCTCCTTTCTCCCACCTGTCCCCATGTCCAGGTCCAGGGTCACTCCCTATGTCCAGGTCCAGGGTCACCTCCCACGTCCAGGTCAGCTGTTCAGCAGCCTTAATGGCACCCGCAGCCTTAATTCCCTTTTGCCATGTAACCTAACATTTTCGCAGGTTGGGGGGACCGGGACGTGGATGTGTTGGGGGGCTTATTATTCTGCCAGAGTGCTGAGGGGAAAGAAAGTGAGGCCTCGCTCCCAGCCGAGAGATTCCCAAATATAAAACCTACACCCGGCCCCTCCTGAGAGCAGCCAGAGGTGTGTGTCCTCCAGAGGCTGGGAAACCAGGGTTAAGTCCGTCCCTGAGGAGGGGCTGTAGCCAGAGAACCAAGTCACAGAGAAGAGACAGAGTTATTAACAGTAAGGCGACCACAGTAAACCTGCCTGTCAGAGGTCGCAGCTGAAGGAGGCAGGCCTGGTGTAGTGAATATCAGGCAGCAGCGATGGGAATCTAAGCCCCTGGCATCCGAGCAGACGCCGGGAATTAGTGTGGGAAATGGAACTTGCTGGCGCTCTCTGAGGTCCTCTGAAGAGAATGACCGATGGCGATTAAAATGATAAAGGGAACAGTGGTGGTGAACGAGGCACCGAGAGAGCCCCCCGAACCTCCTGAGCGATCTTGCACCCAAACTCCGGGCCCTGCTGCCTGCTCACTCCCTGCTCCAGCCCTGTCTATTCAGCCTGGAGTCCTGTCTGGGTGCCAAGTGGCCCGCCTGGTGGTGACTTCAAATTCCTACTGTTGTCATTGTTGTTATTATTTGTTTTTAAGGTGAGCCTTGGTCTGCCATGCCTCACGCTGGCCAATGTTGCATGATTATCTCAGGAATGCAGGCCTGTTTGCAGACGTTACAGCTGCCTGTCACCAGCTGTTTGCCTTTCCGGGGCAGACTCCCAGGCCTAATATTTGACTTGTGGGCCGGCCCCTGAAACAAGGCATCGGTTAGGTGAGCTGCCATCCTCGCCCAGGGGCGTGAGTCCCCAGCTCCAGTTCTGCAGTGTCATTCTCTGGGTTTAGGAAAACGCAGTAATTCTAAACACAGGTTAGAGGCCCCTCGATAGCGCAGGGAGCGTGACTGAGAGAACCTCAGATGAGCAGAGAGGAGGCAGGGCGCAGGTCAGCTGTGAGTATGTGGGCCCCAGCGTGCCAGGTGGAGGCCTGCTTCTGCCCCAGGTCCAGGCTGGCGGGCCACCGCGGGGCTCTGCGCCTTCCCGAGGGAGGGGGTGAAGAAGCTGGGACAACCGGCTGGATGCTCCCCTCAAGAAGTTTACCCTGGTGCTCCTTTGTGTTTATGTGCCATTAAACACGAAGCATGATTAT